CACATGTCATTATCGTGATTTTCTGGCACATAGGTTCAGAATTAGGTCGCAGCTGTTAAAAGAAAAACTAAGGGAGTAAAACTAAAAACCATGCTCTGACGCTGTGATTCAGATCTCAAAAATTCACCGTAAAATCACTGGCTGGGCGACTGTGAATCACAAGTCTGATAGCAAAAAAGGTGTTTCCTGCCAAGACAAAGAACTTTCCTAAGATGACTAGTTGATCGAGTCCCGGTAATCACTGAATGCAGCAGCCTGCGCCCAACACAGAGAGAAGAGAGGCTCCCAATGAAAAAGCGCTTCCTAGCCACGTTGCGGCCAGCATATGCAGGCCGAGGTGAGGATGAACCCTAAGCTCACCTAGAAAGGTTTCGATTCCTCCGGATATCAAGCTGTACATGATCGTCGCCGTGATTGATGCACCAATAATAGATATTGAAGCAACCTAGTAGCAGGTTAGTCTTCTGCCTCATTCATCATATATGTGATTGGCTGACAAGGGAGCAAACGAGCCCTGGAGCTGCACCCCAATTAAACATAAATGTAAAGAGCTCCGCAACGACAGCTAGGATGGTTGTGGCCATTTCAATGATATATGCTGCGATCGAAAATTTGGAAGGGTTTGAAAATCCAGAAAGCACAGCCTTGCTCGCCTCTGGCAGTAGCGAAGCCGAACCTGGTGCGTTGGACTCTAATATTGCCACCAAGTCGAATGAAAATGACAGCGTGGGCGTGGAGCAACTTAAATACTGAGATGCAACTTCCTTGCCACTACAATATCCCCAGAGCCCTACTGCATAATAGTCAGGTAGTGTTGACTGAATCTTGCTCTGCAGGTCAGGTAGACTGCCGCTGGCATGGGCTAACGCATTGTGGGCAGGGTCTGCGAGATTAGATGCTTGGTCAGACAAGCTGAAGGACCGAACAATCCTCTGTTGCATTAAGCCAACAACTGCTTTTGAGAACGTCTCCCCTTTCTTCCTCGAAATCACATATTGACCAGATAATCAATCTCTTCGTGAAAATGATCCAGACATATTTAGCTGGCATAGTACTATCAGTATTTTTTGTCGTACGGCGCACACAGTATTAAATAGCTGGCGATATGGTCCCCTTCGCCACGCCAGACACCAGCAAGGCGCAACCGATCGGAGAGAAGCTGGATTTATTTCGAAAAAGCTTCGAAGCAACTTGCGAGGATCTGGGACTGACACGAACGTTGGATTCAATAGGTCGATTTGAGTCCCAAGGCAAGGATTACTCTGTACTTGGAACTACTGTACATTGTCCTAATCCCAGCGATGCAGATCTTCGGAATATTGCCCTTGACCTCACATCGGCGTTGCGCGCATTTCCTGGCGTGCGAAAACTTCCGTCCCCCAATGGTCGGAGGAACCTCTTAGATGACATCTCCGGCCTCAACTATGTTATCAGCTCAGACGCTTTCGACATCGATCGTTTTATTCCGTTGCTTAGAGCCATTTGAAACAAAGAAGCGGACGAGGTAATTTGGGACAGGGTATATGCAGCCGTTATCGAAGTCACACCTCCTCCGAAGCTCCTTCCCTGATCAAACACCGTACTTGCATAGAACAAGCAGCTTTGTAAATTCTTCAGAACAACGAAAATACACTGATGCAGTTCTAAGACCAGAATTGGGTCCCATTTATGTTGGTGTTCCTGGCTTTTTCAAAGTCTTCCTCTATGAGATTGAAGGACTTGAAAACGGCAGAAGCCGTTTTACAGAGATGCAAGTATGGCGATAATGCGCTCTTTCATGACAAGACTGGCTGGCGAGGCTGGCCTAAGAATGCGCAGGAAAAGGATGTTCTGAAATGGTTTATCCAGCTATTTGGTCAGGTGCAGAAATTTGCTTCTGATCACTCGTCTGGCATAAAGCCTCGGACGATTCTAGCCCGGCCTTCACAACCTTTGCAAGGATCCGCAGCAAAAAGGAAATTAGATATCGCCATTGCCAAATATCAGGAGGACATGGCTGGGAAATTGTCTCACTGGTCGCATGTTCTCATTCCAGGAGAATTGAAGAGCAGCCCAGACCTCGATGCAGCCTCGAATACATGGCGTGACCTGGGTAGATATGTGAGAGAAGTTTTCACCACACAAGACGCGCGCCGATTTGTGCTTGGCTTTACATTATGTGGCTCTGTCATGCGCCTCTGGGAGTTCGATCGCATAGGGGCCATAGCGTCACACTCATTCGACATTAATATTGACCCGTTATTATTATTATTATTAATTTCATTCTCGCATCTGTCAGCCCTATCGGCCGAGTGGCGGCAGGTCCCTGCCGGCGGCTGGGTACGCCGCTACTATCTTACATGCCCTAGATCCACGGCAGGCCTGACTTGTCCCTACACCCCCGTAGATACGCCTAGCACAACGCCAGTTGCCCCTATCTTCTGTGCCTAGATGATCTAGTCACCCCGAGGGGTGCCTAGCCTGATGCTCTCCCTCGTCAAACAAGCCCTGCAAGCGAGCCATGGCGGTGCGCAGGTTAGGGGTCGCCACCCGTAGTGCTAACCTGGAATGTGTCTGGTAGGCCCTCGAACTGGGCGAGGAGCCGCGTAGCAATCATGAATCGGGCGGCTTGCCGTACTAACTCAGGCTCGCGGAGCAGGCGAGCGTAGTCAGTCTCCCGTGTGTGCTGCCAGACCGTGCAGAGCCGGAGCGCCGCGTAGGTCGGGCAGGTGATTAGCATATGCCGAACATCCTGACGGCCGAGGCCGCAGGCGCAATCCACTGTGGGCATCGCCCCGAAGGAGCCGAGATAGCTCGCAAGGGCGATCTTACCGGTCTGCATCTGGATCACCACTGAGCTGGCTGCGCGCCGAAGGCCCACATGGAGCCGGAGCACCGCGCGGCTCGGGGCCGCGAAGACCCGTCGTAGAGCCGCGCCGTGATCATGATTGGCCCAGAACCGGTGCCAGTGCTCCCTCATCGAGGCCCGGAGGCGGAATATTGACCCGTTGATATTTGTCTCGGCGATTGTGGGATTTCTGCTGATGAACGACGAGCAACTTGGCTTTGACCCCAGCATTATGTGGTCGGCAAATGGGGAAAGGTATATTCAAATCCATCGCGATGGGAGGCTGGAGTGTTTGATCCTTGACAAACTTGTAAAATCATCATCATGCGTGGCTGGACGGGTGACTACATGCTGGAAAGGTCATGTAGACGATGATGCCCAGACCCCTATTGTTATAAAAGACTCATGGCAATACCCGGAGCGCGAAGAAGAAGGCGAGATATTGCAGGAAATAGGAGAGCAGGGTGTTGTGAACGTGGTAAGATATTTCTATCATGAAACTGTGTTTGTACATGGCAACGTTGATGACGTCCGGAACAATGTGCGCAAAGGCCTTGATGTGACGAAAGCGTCCAATTGGAGACAAGCTCGTGCTCAAGCGACTGAGCCTAGAGAGGTCCCCAGACGAGGCGCTACAAAAAGGGCCAGCAACCTCGGCCAGAAGAGGTCGTCCAGCTGTACGGAAGCTTCCCTACCGCGAAACAAAAGAGCTTGCTCGAGCTCCCCGGCTCGTTGGGATGATCATTTTCTACAAAACCGCGTCCATCGTCGTGTTTGTGTCCGCCATTATGGCAGACCAATATATAGGGCAAGCTCTCGCGTGGCCCTTCTGAACGCTCTAGAAGCGTGCGTTGAAGGTGAGACTCCTGTGGGAACAGTCTACGTTGAATATACATTTTAACTTTTGAAGGCTATGAGGCTTTGTATACAAAAGCAGGGGTGCTCCAAGGAGATATCTCCACTGGGAATTTGGTGATTAATGAGGAATAGAACAACTCTTCATGGCCGGCTTTCCTTATCGACTTGGATCTTGCTATTAAGGAACATAGAGACCACCCTTCGGGCGCAAGGGGCAAGACTGGGACAAGGGCATTCATGGCCATAGGGCTGCTGCTAGGAGAGAAGCATTCATTTTGGCATGATCTGGAGTCTTTCTATTGGGTTTGTTTTGGATATGCATCCATTATGATGGCCCTGGCAAAAGCGTTGGGCCAACGGACTTTGACTGCTGGAATTATGAAGATGTCCAGAAACTGGCCAATTCAAAACGAGGAATAGTTGCCGATGAGACGGACTCGTCCTTGAGGCAGTGTCAGCGCTTGTGTTACTCTTCAGCTCGCCCAAAACTAGAACATGAGTCCAGTGATATTATGAGTATTTCCATTAAGCCAACAATTCTTGATCGTGGTATCCTACTTCACTAGGAGAGAACGAAACAAGATCCACACAAATGTGGTTATCTAGGAAAGAATGTCGCATAATGCCATGGTTCCATGGTCTACAAAGAAAACCACTACCGTACATGAATCAATCCCTCCTCAAAGAGCTCAGTAGCCTGAAATCCACGTAGCTCATCACCATCGACTTCCCAGCCTTCATTTGTTAAAAAGCCATCCAAGTCCCTCTTCAACTCTTCGGCATCCACGTAGACGTATTCCCAGCACTTTCGTACAATATCGCCTAGATATTCCCTTTCAAGGACTGGCCATTGGTGCTCCACCACCATATGCCGCATCTCTGCATCCTGCCTATCCCTTTCATGGCCAGGCCAGGACTCCGTCATGAGCTGATAGACAAGACATCCCCAGAGAAACAGATCTGTATGAACGGTGGCCACTTGACTATGTCGTCGGGGTATATTGCAGGGATGAAATGGCTCATCCCTCCCGGTTCCATTGATATACTTCCTCATTGTCTGACTGTCAATGTAAACAGCGTCAAGAAAGCTGAGCAGTGAGAGCGAAAGAGAAGATGATAGCCAGCATAATTCAATTTGCAGATCGCCAAAGAGAATGTTTTTCGAGTGCACAAAGGATAGCGCTGAGGCCAAATGTAATGCCCATTGGTAGATTAGCGGGCGATATTTGGGCGTAATCCGTGGCTGTCCATCTGCGTTGGAGTACATAGATGATCTGTATTTAGCCATGAGACGGTCAACTGTAGTTGATGGCATTTACAGAATAGGAATCCCAAAGAATGGGTCGCGGTGTTGGAAGCGAACAATTCGTGGGTGATTTTCGGCAAGCTGTTCATACACACAGGTGGCCTTCCATACACGTCGCAAGTCCCCAGTCATCACTTGTGGGCCTGAAAAAGCATCAGGCTCCTCATATCGCTCCAGATCATTGTCGAACATGTCATCGAAGTGGTCCTGAGTCAAGAGAGCAACAGAACTGTCATCAATCTGCGTCGCTGTGACGTTGTCTATATCCGTTTCGAATAGTTGCTCATCTGGAATGTTGGGTATGCGTGGGTGGCGCATCAGACGCCTGAGCAAATCAGGATGAGACCCTGGAAGGGGCTGTAGAGTGCGACCAGCATTGGTAACAGTACGTGCCATGATGGGCTGTAGATGAGAATAGAAACATTGCCAGTCTAAGAGGAAGTGTGCGAAATTATGGACCACTAACTAATTTCCTAAAATGAGTCACCTGTAAAATTTCCACGTGCCCTGAAATGAAGTGAGAGATATTTAGCGCCACTCTATGCTCTTTTACTAAATTCACACTAAGTGGAGTGATTTGATGTTTAGTTACTTCTTACCTCCTTTAATATCTTCTGCTTCTATTTATTTACTTAAAGCTCTTTCTCATTGTCTGTGTCTATTATGCCTCTTTTCTTGTTTGTTGTAGTTTCTCATGCTCTACATGCAATTAGTCCATTAAGCTACCAGATGATCAGATCTATCCCCATAATATCTACCTTTCTGCTACACTTCCAATTGATCTTCTTTGCATAGCCTGAGCTTGCCTTATTGGCTTGCAAATTTAGGAAGCTTTATATTTGCTTTTTCCTTTTACTTTTTGCCTCTGCGCTTCTATCTCATGGCCACTATCTCATCTAGTCTGTGCTCTGCATAGCTCACATTGTTAGTTATTGCCTTCTCACCCATCCACCATCCGCTGCTCACTCTAGTTGTGTAAATATAATGTACATAGAGGCACTCTCTGCTCTCCCCATCCTATGAGGGAGATATCTACATGCTCCCCTTAACATAAGCTTCTGCTACTGCCCCTATTTGACCTACTTCCTGTCCGGTGAGACTGCGCCTGCCAGTGTCACATTAGCATTCCTATCTCTCATGTTCTCCAGGCTTCTGGAGATTGATAACTTGTTTGATTTGTGGGTCTGTGTTTGGCTTCTACAAAGCCTCAGGAGCCCTTCATAATCTGATAATCCTTGCCTTGATGCCTCCGTTGAGGCAACAAAAGACTACCCCTCTATACAGTCCCTCGGGCCTCATCATCCTGCGGGGATACCAGGTGTTGCCACCTATTTTTCATTACTTCCAAAGCTCATTTGATTCACCGCGACGTTCTCAGAAAGGATTACGCTCTTTTGCACTGGCCAGTAGTCTCCCACTCTTGCCATTGCCAAGAATGGAAACCTACAGTCGGGTCTAGTCCCATGCAAACAGTTGTGCCGACTCCAATTGCGGGCTTCTTCACGCCTGTAGTCACAGTTTCCGATGCTCGTTTGGACCAGGTCTAGGCCGCCCTGCCTACCCTTGCTTCTCGCCGAGACCATCCGACGCTGTTCCATGCACACCCACTGCGGCCATTAGCCCCTGGCCGTGCACAAGTCTCTGAAACGGATGCCTTTATCTATGTTTGGGACCATTCCTCGCCCTCGCAACTAGTGACTCGGACGTATTTCTGCGTCTGGTTTTGCATGCCCATGAAGTCGATTGGTAAGTTACCGATATCACGGGCCATATTTCTTCTATTGCCGCTGCTGAATGTTTTAATGGCCATCCTGGTAACCACTCGAACCCTCAGATCTACTGTATGCACTGCCAAGAAGTTGCTCTCTCCATTGTCAGCCTGATGCGTGTGGAACAAGTTCACGGGGCTGCTAGATGATAGGTCCAATATATCGGATTATTGGCTCCAAATCTACAGTCTACGACTCCTCGAACAGGAGAATTCCAGAATGTTCCCTGTGAAAGAACAATCTTGACCAGTCAGGAATTTTAAGGAGAGAGAAATCTATTGAGTTGTACTAGACCTAGAGTACTTCATCTGCTCCGATCTGTTCATGATTCTAATCCAGAGTTTGAACTAACACCGTATAGTATGGAACCAGTAGTATAGTGAGTTGGAAAAGCTGTGTAAATCCTCTACTACCCTGTAAACGCTCCAATGGTTGAGGCTGGAAGATTTGTGCACTTATCTGTACGATCCAGCTTAACCTTCTGAATTCCTCCCCCGTTAACAGCCATGATCGTGCCCCATCATTGTGTATAAACAACTCCTGCAAACTTCCGTTTCTCGTCCATCATTTTAAGATCACTTCTTGCTTGTGTTACTACCATATCTAACTCACTTCGAATGAACTTTGGCCATTCATTGGCCAGGTTGCTAACAGCACCGGTGTAGCTTTGATACCATGAGTCAAAGCGGCGAAGCACGTCCAAACACCATTATATGTGTCGCAGAATGACTCCCATACTGTGTCCAAGTTCATGTAAGTGAATATCATGCCCACTTCTCGCGCCTCTAAGAGTTGATCGCCGCCTTTCTGATCTTGGTCGAATCTTGATTGTGCGATGGATGCCTTTCCTCCAAACAGTTTGCCTTTCTTGGAGTTAGGGCGCGTGAGGAAGACGGTCAGGCGATCCTGATTATTAACCGAACTAATTTCATCAATCATCAGGTGGATCCAGGCCTGGCCGTTCAGAGGTTGAGTAGGAATATCCGGTAGGATATATCTCTCGCTCCACAAAGCTGGCCGCGTCTTCGTCGCATGATATGGCATCCAAGCCATGAAGAATCTTGCAATTGTTTGAGCCTCAAAAACATGCTCCGTCTGGTACAGTTGGTGGTAACCAACCCCACGTTTGTGGACATTTCCCTTGTTGTCAGGCTTCGGCCAAGGATACGTGAGGTCGTAGCTGGGAAATTGCGCCACATCAAAGGAAGTGCATGAGTCGCTAGAATTGTGAAAGTACTTTTTGACACCCGTATAGGGAGAGATATCGAAGTTTTTGGTTGTCTGTGGGTTTCTCCAGTAATCAGGGTATTGGGGATATGGCTCGGATTCAATGACAATGGCTTGAGAGGACTGCGGATGGGTGGGATCCACTGCTGGATTCCAAAATGTGGTTTCCTTCATCCCAGTGGATATGCCGCCGGCACGTGCAACCAGCTCAGAGAATCTCTCCTCAATAGATCGTTTATATACCGAAGAGCCCAGGAGTCCAGAGACTGACACATAACCCCACTGGTCATCATCGAGATCCTCGGGCGCCAGCCAAGCACAACCACAGCAGTCATTATCCGCATTCAAACTTATGACGCAAGAACCACAGCCATTGCAGTTGATTTCGGGAACTGAGAGGCGCGAGCTGCCTGCTACCTCACTGTTGATAAGGTCTGTCAAATGGGGAAGTCCTTCAAAGCCATTGTAATCACCGCGCGGAGTAGAGTTGGTTTGTCTTTTCTTCTTGTTCTCCTTCTCCTTTTCCTCCTTCTCGTCCGTTTCTCTCTGTCCTTCCTTCTCATGACCTTCTATATTTTCAAGGGAAAGAAGATCCGAGCTTGAGCGAGAAGCTAGGCTGTTTGAGCTACGTGTGAAGCATTGCTGATCCATTTGAGAACCTTTGGTGATGTACTGATTCAGTGAATTCGCACCCCAACCAACATACTCACCGTCGGCAAGGAGAGCATATTGAGCCTGGAATATGCTGGACGTCAGGCAAACTTCATTTCCGGCGCCTGAAAACTCAAAGTGGGCAGCAAGACTCTGCTTGACAGACATGTCAGGCATACGCACGTCCACTGCTGATGACCAAGGTCTGGAAAACGCCAACGTCACCTTGAGTCCCAATGTAATATCGAGAGCAAGAGTAATGTCGGATGATGGAGTGTTATCGCCGACAGGAGTCATGCTGTTTCTCTGGCTGACTTGTAGTGCCGGAGCTGTAATCCCAGATGGAGCACTTGGAAAGTGTACGTTCGAAACCGATCCCTTCATTCCCCATTTACTGCGTTTCATTAGCAAATCTTGCCCTATATGAGGGAGGGTAATGGGTCCTTACGCCACAGCCTTTGACTCCATATATCCATTGAAGGAAACGGCTTGGCTGGTTTCGCCCATAGTCTTGAGCTGGACGGCTTGTTCCATGTAGCTGACGAATGAGGCCCAACCATGATAAAGTGAATGACCTGCCAGAGTTCTTTTTCCAGATGACTTGGTGATGGTCTCGCCATTCATCTTTGAAGAGTCCAGGGTGCCAATCCCAGCGACGGTGAATGTGGCAGATGTGGAGCCATCAACATTCAGAAACCCAGCTGATTCATGGACTTTGACTGTACTGCTTGGGTCCCACGTCGCAATCATCGAGAAACTGTAGTAGAAACCGGCGTTGAGTGCACCTTCTATTGTCACCGCGATCCCTTCGCCTTGCTGGCTGTCTGAAGTTGGACACATTTCAGTGTTATAGTACACGAGGTGGTCGATAGTTGTATTGCTTGAGAGGTCACTGAAACCCTTTGAATTTGGGCTTAGAGTATCGAATTTGTCAAACCAGTTGTCCTTGTTGTCCGAATAAAACTGTTTGACAAGTTCTTTGAGGTCGCGCTTCGAGTCTGTGCCCCCTGAGGTTGTACCTGCTGAGTTAACGACCGCATTCCAGTACCCGGCAACATTAGAGTAATCCATGCGAATAGAGATTGTGCCGGCATCTCTGCGGACCAGGGGCATATTGTAGTCGAAGCAGAAGCCATACACCGCGGATGTGGGATTCCGCAAGGCCAGGTGGGCGGGGATAGACTGGTTATGCGATGGCTGCAGAGACACAGCCCTGACATAACCGCCCCCTCCGCACTCTCGAGGCATGTGTACGATAGTCCCTTCAACACCATTCTCTTGTACTTGGAAGCACTCTTCCACATCGCAGTCCACGCAAATCACCCTAGCAGTGTGCGCGGTCTCAACCGGAGCGTCGAGAATACCTTCGGGGCAGTCGAGAAAATGCAAGCCAGGATTGTCCCACTTAGACATAGACGACACCGCTGTACTAGAACCGGCCATGAGGAAGAAGGCCACACCAGTAAGATCGGGATGAGCATCCCCTATACCGGCGGCGCCACCGAAATTGATCAATTCAAACTGAGGTTGGGCGTCTGCAGAGGGAAGGTATTCAGGCGGAAATATCTTGTCAAAGTCCACGGGTAGAAAGGGCTGGTTTGCCCTGCCAGGCGCATCACAGCAGAAAACCTCCTGCCGTCCTGTGAAGGGTGGATGAGAAAGGTATTACCGATGGAAGTTACAAAAAGTCACGCACCATTGTCACAGTAGCGGCCTCCTTTACCTTGAGGATCCAGATCCAGGGTAATCTGTCCGTTGTCGCAGCGTTGCGAGCAAACCTTGCCGCTCTTCCAACTACAGTTCTTGAATGAGTCTTTCTCGGGACAGCATAGCTTCCGATGAGCTTTAGAGCCCTTTTTGGGATCATAGTCATCATCACTGTAGCCAGCGGGGTTGGTTATGATATCATTGGGATCGTAGTCATCGCACCGTTTACCCGCACCCTTGGGGCCGCCAGAGTCGATGGCCAGTACGTTCTGTTTGTCGCTTGGACACGAACCTCCGCATTCAGTCCATGTGCAAATGTCCAGGTACTGTTGCATATTTCCAACATTGCAGCAGAAGACTTTACCGCCTCTATTTTGGTTAAATCAGTGACTGATCCAAGTTTCATTTGCGTCTGTAGTACTGGAGGCCTTACCGGAGACATCTATAATCATATGAACCGAAACACAGGTCACCCTTCCAACCCCAGGAGTCAGAAAACATCTGAATGTCGTCTGTTTTACATTGGCCAGAGCAATCAGTCTTCACGCCGCCACCGCCGGCATTCCAATAGCACTGGTCTTTGGTGATACTCGTCCATGCTGGGCAGCAGACCCAACGTGAATTAGTTTGATCTCCACTGCATCTGTGAAGAGTCAGTTACAGGGCTTAGTTTTAATAGTTATGAGATATGCTGCACCTGAAAGATGAATGTCTTCCGATAACCTGTTTGCCATGACTAGGCCACATGCACCACCTCCCACGATGATGTAGTCGTATGAGGTGGTGGAGGCCGCCAACACAAGAGAGAAGAAATGAATTCTAGCCAACATGGCTAAGAGGAAATAGATCTTCGCCGACATGGTGAACGTGGAAGATAAGACTGAATTAACTGAGAGAGAGAGAGATGTAAGTGAGAGAGATGAGAGAGAGAGATGTAAGTGAGAGAGATGAGAGAGAGAGATGACAGAGAGAGAGATGACAGAGAGAGAGATGACAGAGAGAGAGATGACAGAGAGAGAGATGACAGAGAGAGAGATGACAGAGAGAGAGATGAGTATGAAAGATGCCCTTCTTATATACCTGACTGCCGGCATAGATATTCGCTGTAAAATGTATAATTCCGATTGAGACGAACCTTCTAGGATAGTGTTTGTGAATTGAACTGATTCCTCTGAGATAAAAGTTCATGATTAACTAGAAGAACCCATGTATATTCAGTCCTGTGAGACAAAAGTGCCTGGTTAACTGGAAGAACCCATATACATTTCACTGCTGTGAGACAAAGGTTCATGGTTAACTAGAAGAACCCATGTACATTCAGTGCTGTGTTCAATTAGATTCACTATGCACATTCTGATTCTTGCCTCTGGATAGATCCCAACTCCCTTCCTGCCTCCACTCGGACAGTCAAGTCTCAGACAGGATACAGAACACCAGGTAGGATTTGAAATACCTTCCTGCCGATGTTAAGGCAGCTGTACAGAAGATGGCTAACATCAAGTCTCTTCTTAAATAATAGATGTTGGCTCATTGCTAACATTCTTAAGCGTTGGTGACTATGCTATTCCGTTGAGCTCCTATTGTCTGCCAAAGCCGAAGTATTCAAGTGCTAGGGGCGGATAGACAGGAAGAATTATGCTACAGTCACTCGCTGGCCACAGTGGGTTCATCTGTTGGGGGGAAGACGGCTGCTGATACGCGCAAGGGAAATGTTTGATTGTGGTTATCTTGCAGCCTAATGGGATTTATATTGACTTAGAATTCTTAGAGACGCTTCCTGCGCGAGAATCCATCAATAAGATGGTGGAGGTTGTCACACAGCTGCTACCTCCATTAAGAGGGACTTCGCTGCCTTTAACAAGAATGCTGAAACCATCCTGGCAGCAATTCAGAAGGAAGTTACCAATACGAGCGTTAATCCAATGCTATCTAGAATATCCTGAAGACAACCATTCTGGCATCGGCACGGTGCACGTCGTCTCCAACAATGAGGGGCAGTGAGGACTTTGCAATCTTGCGAACCGGTGCCACTCCATTGGTCATGTCATCGAAGCTATCATCAAGAGTAACAAATATGTGTTCTAATATTGACCGCATAATGTACTCAGATATGTTTGGGATGTGACTTTCCGGCAGACTATCGCCTGTGCTTCGTGCTGAATGTTTTATGACTGATTGCGGATAAAATGACATTATGAGCTTGAAAGAGATGTTAGTATCCTTGCAATGTTATCATCATTTATCTCTGCAAGATAGCAAATTATTCTCTTATTAAATAACAATTTTCCCTCTGTTACCTACTTGCCCTCTCGATGAGATGGATTCTGGGTCGTGGTGTGGCCCCTGACCAAGAGTCTACATGCTGCGAATAGAGGAACCATTATCATCGACGCAAGTTTCAATTCTGACACAGCTAGACAGATTAATATTCAAAAGATACGCCGACATTCAACTCTTGCTTGATATAACTGGGTTGAAGATCTTTAAAAATCTCTCAGGAAATTAAGAGACTCATGATCAACTGTAGCACAATACCCTTGAATTGTATTTGTTCACCTAACTTTCTTGACCAGGAATCCAGTGACTGTTTACTGGCCCCTGATATAGATAAATAGTGATCTGGTCTGGAATTTGTATATCGAATGTCTGACTGGTCGACTGGGTTCTGATCCTAGAGAACTCCGCAACAGATTCAACAAATTCCCAGTTGAATTGGACCAAGCATAGACACAAGGGATCTAGACAAGTCCCTTAAGATATCGCACGAGGCTTCTTCCCGATTACTTTGGACCTCCTCGAAAACGCACTCGCCGCCACCACCGTCCCATCCTCGTCCTCTACATGTGTAAAGGCCCCATCAGTGCACGGAATTAGGCCAGGACGCGGTATATGGGGCATTTTTCTCCAAAAGACATCATTCCGATAGTCATTCATGAAACTCCACAGTCCGGTGATGTCCAGACGGAAAAATCCTTGATAATTTTCATAGTCCCTTATTCCGCCTTCCTGAAACCTCCGAGCAACAAGAATCACGTAACCGGCGTCTAATCCAAACAAGAAGCTATCATCCTCGGAGGGTTCCGGGGTCTTGAGGATGGACCGGAGGGCCTTATCGTCAATCATCAGACAAAACTCCGACCGTGGAGTGCCGTCCTGGTCATGGCGAGTCATCCAATCGTCAAATAGGTGCCGGACCTGGTGGACAGAAGCACCCTCAAGAAGCTCTCGATCCTCGATGACTACATTCCTGTAACCCTCACAAATAAGCCGGATGGGTTCTGGATGCCTGAATGTCCGGCGGGATCGAAGGAAGCAATGAACACAGGCATCGAGCTTTCGCATCGCCTCCTTCCAATCGGCTTCGGAAACATTCTCATAACAAGTCCGGTAGATAAAATAGCCCCATGGCCACATGTACTCATAATACTCCGCGAAGAACCTCGCCGTCTTGTCAGCATTCCACCATGGATAGCTCTGAAAGCGGCGGTCTCGCTCTTGCCAGGGCTCGTCCGCGGGAAAGTCCGGAGAGGTCCATGGTTCTGGCCATGATTTATGGTGGAAGAAGTCATTGAATGAGTCAGGCGAGGATGGCCGGGGAGAGATTTCCCCCATGTTTGCAGATTGGATAAATTGAATGCAAGCCACGGATCCAAGGTGGTTGACGGTGGTAGAGGTTATGTCATGAGATCAGATGTCGTCTGGAGTGAGATGTTTGTTGGAGGCCTAGTACATACCTTAGCTTACAAGCAAGACTCGCTTAAAGGTTAACTACATCAACTCGTATTACTAAGCAAACGCAAATAGTTAAGTTAACTACCTAGCGACTCAATTCTCTGGCTAGCTGCACTAGTGCAAACAAGGAAACTCAGGGCACTTGAGGCCATATGAACGTTCTTTTTCTTAATACTCGGTATGAGTGCTGAGAAAGGGTATACGTCAATTCCTCTACCATCTCCATCGGACATTAAGCCGTTTACTGACTGCATGAGACAGAGACCCGCAAATCTTGGTTCTTGGCGTTGCCCTGATATTAGTATCAATGGCGGGCACCTGGCTACGTTCCTACTGGTCTATGTGTGGTAGTGTACCTTTATGGGATTCTGTACAGGATGGAATCACTTTACCCTTACATCATCTTCCTCCAAATTGACAAACTATGTCGTTTCCATACTTGTGCTGCTGGCGGTGCTATTCCCGTTGGCAGCATCAAATCCCGACACTGGTCCAATGCAATACGCATCCCCCGCCACCAAGAGACCATCACAGTCGCCTGCAGCCAAGGAAGGGTTGGCCCTCAGAAAGGTCTCCCGGTCGACCGGTCCTTGCATACAAAGCATCGTACAACTGACATCCTCTGCAGCTGTCACTACGTACCATTTGCCGCATCTGAACGTCGTGCCCTTGGCCACCGTGGCGTTGGTAGGAGGTGCGGTTTCAGTGTAGCCGCCCGTCTGTGGTAGAGAGGTCACGCCCGGCGGAGGAGCAGCACCGGTTGCAGTGCCCCCTTGTGGAGCACCGCAGAGCACGTGCCCATAAACCTGGTTACTGGCCATATGAAGATTGGAACAGTCGTTCAGTAGCCATGGATTGAATTTGCGAAGGGTAGCACCGGCCGAGTATGGTAAGCCGAGGGAGGCTTCGACAGAAATACACGTGTCGTTGTCTTTGAGAGTATAGGTGGGATTGCAAGAGAGCGGGATGCAAAGTTCCGTGCCGGCGGGGATGTTGCGGCAGTCGTGGAGATTGGGATTGCCCATGTACAGCGAGGCAGACGACACACTGTACTTCAGCGAGATCGAATCACAGGTATCCCCGGAGACCGCCGTATACGTCGTTTCAGAGATGCAGAATGTGAGGTTGTTCTTGTATGGGTCTGGGAACTCTTGCAGCGGTGGGAGGATATTTGTGGGCCCGCTGAGCCCGCATTTCGAATGCATGAACTCCAGGTCAGACTGGTAAGTCTCGTCATAAATAGAGTAGGGAGTCGCTTGCATCATCTCGTAGCGGGTGACATAGCAGTGTGAGCACAGTTCACCTTGTGGCATATCGGCGATGGTCTGGACGACAGTGAATCCATCAATGGCATCTGTAGCAAACAAGTACAGATTAGTTGTCAGTCCGCCATTGTACACGCAGCTACTTGAAGGAGATGGATTTACCGCCACAGTATTTCCCCGTGTTGGGGTCTTTGACGCATGTCTCGTTCCATCCAGCCCAAATGATGCCGCCGGGCTCGGACAAAACAACACGGTCATGCTCCCGGGCGCAGTCGACTGAAACACTCTCAAACCACGCTTGGAGAGACTGTCCGCAGGTTTTGTCACACATCAAATCAGTCAATGTATCGTTGTGCATGGACCCTCTCCATTGTAAGGCCCTGAGCATGTATACTTGATCATGACATTCGATCAGACGCGTTAGAGATGCTTTGCAGGTAGACGAAACGCCGCCCAAGACATCCTGGTCCTGCTCATCGTCCCACAGGTAGAAGCCCGGGAATTTGCGCTTCCCAATGGCCCCTGTTCCGGTGTGGAGCCAAGCTAGGAGAGACGAGGTATAGCCATTCTGGACATCTCGGGCATAGAGTGGGATTTCCCCTGTCGGGCTGATAGATTCCATGATTCCTTTGGTGACAAGGTTGTACACCCAGGTATTAGTGCTCTGCTCAACGTAGAAGCCCCGCTCCTGGCAATTGCCAGTCTCGACACAATCCTGCGTGTAGAACGCAAACCAGCTGTAAAGGCCTACAATAGACCGTTAGATCCATAGGTATACACATAACACAATGGAAAACGCGCGGAATGTCTTACCGGAGCCTAGCATATAGACAGTCGAAGAATCGATGACCCTCACAGCCCAGGCCATGGCACAGCCAGCTATATTGTCGCCACAGTTGGTGAAATCAGGGTCATTGGGAAACAGACCAGGCTTAAAAGGCTCGGGTGCTGCAGGAAGCGGTTGGAAATATGGCGTTTCCGTCTGGATCATTCCCATCACAATTTTCTGCGCCCCCGAAAGCTGATACTGGTAAAGAACATTATGTTCGGATGCAGTGCCGTACATCCACGTCGGTCCGTGGCTCTCAACCAAGATCCCACGAGCAGAAAAGACATCGATTTGATCCTGAGATTTCACATCGAGATCATGATCTGCTGTCCATGCCCACACGTTCTCGAGATAAGCAGAAGCAGAAGAAGTGATACGAAGCAGTAACGAAGCAGCTATACAGTTTTGTTTGATGAGAGGGAAATGCTTCTTTGGGCACTCAGAAGCTTGAAGATGGGAGCCCTTTGCGCCTCCAACCCGGAAGTGGGAATCTGCAGGGAAAACAGTTTAATCACGAGAAACGAATATGTCGAGGATAGAAAACTCACCCCATAACCCTGCCGACCCTTGGCTCGATTCATGGATATTCCATTCCACCAAGACAGCTCCGGCGGTGGGACCTGAAACAGTAAACAGCAGATCTTGGATCTCGACAATCCCGATTTCGCCTTCGTGGCCCACTTGGACCGCCACATGTGGATGGTCAGCATCCTGGAATTTGGCGCCTGTTGCCATGATCTGAGACCAAGCCTGTCCAACAATGCGGGACCCTTTGGGAATCTTCAGGGTATCTGTCACTTTGTAGACACCATGAGGAATATAGACGATTGACGACAGGTTCGCGGCAACAATGAACACACTATTAAGAATGATAGTGTCGTCAGTCACGCCGTCGCCCTTGGCCCCATAGGCCTTGACGTCGAACACCTGGCTGTGACCAATATCGGCGTATTGTGGTCGACGGCGGGTGAAAAAGTTAAATGTTCCCTTGTTGTAAGAATTGGAGCTAACGAGTTCTTTGGCACGCTGCATGGCTGGAAGCACTTTTTGCTGGGCAAATTGAACGTTTGCATCCTGGGCGTAGAGGCCAAAGCCCCATGCATCAATGAGCACCTCGTTCCCTCCCGCGAGGATGGGATCGGCGCGTCGTTCCGCCATGATGGCTTTCTCGACGTTGTAGAACCCAACATTCTGCAAGAGAAATGCGGTGGAATTGGCACTGTACAGCGAGGTCAAGATGCCAGTCGGGGTATTGGCAATCACGGCGTCAACAAGGATAAATGAACCAACGCCTTGGCCGTTGCTCATCGGACCACCGGCCTGGAAAGAAAGTTTGTTTCTTAGCATGTCGATACTGTGAGGTCGACAAACAGGATGCACTCACACCACCAGTGACGACGATTCCTGTTTGGCAAGATTCGATCACAACGTCCTGCATGGTCCACGCCCAGTCCCAGTGGATCTGAAGGGCAGTTTTGCAATTGACAAACACGAGATGCTGCGTGGTAAATTGCTGGTTCCCGAGATAAGCACTATTGAGCCGACGGTAAGCACTGGATCAGAGATTGAAGCAGTACTCCGGAAAGTAGCACACACCCAAAGTTTCCGCCAACAAAAGTTAGATTGCTCATGAAGCCCCCACTTCCATTTTCCATGTAGAGCCCCTACAACAAGGTCAGTCCCGATATGTTGAAGAAGACGAGATTTGACGCTGGACAGACCTGCTGGGTTGTGCCCGCATCTTGAGACATGTAGAACTCTATATTCTCTAGTGAGGTCCCCTGAGCCACCTGCCAATGAATGGCACACACGTATGCAGTCGGATCTGTACGTGTGATGTCCATCTTGAAGTTGCGAATGTTTCGCAGAAAATTGTTTGTGTTGAGGTACCTAGCCATGGGTGAGCGGGCGCCAACGTTGAAACATAAGCATGGTAGGCAGTTATATGAGAATTGAATCTTACCATTCCTGCTGATCTCCAACATAGACATCGGAGGTGATCACCCCTAGACCGACAAAACTGGCGGCTGCGAGAATCGTTGGATAATTGGTGGGCTATTGCGCCAGAGTATCAGATTGGGCCACCTGATGAAGGGGAAAGCAAGACTGTTCGACAAACTCACATCACCAAGGAATTGGGTATTATAGTATTGTATAATTGGGCTGCTGACAAGATATGTGCCGGGAGGGAAGTAGACCACTGCAGGGTAGATTGTGCTTGAGCCACAGTCGGCACCACATCTCCCGCCGTCAGAAATTGCTTTGTTGATAGCGGCTGTGTTGCTTGCATGAGCAGGTCATTCTTCCTTGAAATCAATTCTCCAGTCATCTATGATCTTACCGGTATCGTCAGTCAGTCCATCTCCTGCTCAGTAGATGTTAGCATTTATTCTGTGCGACCAGGGTCAGCAAGGTCCAGATTTGCTTACCCTTGGCGCCATAGTCCTTGACATTCCTCCACACCTACATACATTGATTTCACGAGTCAATTGCGCGCGGAGAAGAGAAGTATCGAGCGAGAGCAGACTGACCTTGTATCCTTCTGGGGCATAAGGGCTAGCGCCGTGCTGCTCCATGTTGGCCATCCAGTAATCGGATCCCGATGCGGCCCTTTTCTCCAGGGATTTGTCCGTCACCCGAATCGGGCCTTCCATGTCGACGCAAGGCGCATACTCTAGCAATCCGTCTGGGCCCCGTAGGCTCTGGCTGGCCACGTTTGTGTCATTTCCCTTAAGACCATACTTGGCTTGCATCTTGGCTGCGAGGGCGCTTTCTTTCCCGGTTGACGGAGAAGGAGGAGCGGATTCCGCAAGTATGCGGGCAGCTTCAGCCAGATCCGGAGAGATGGAGTACGCGAAGCTCTGGCTGTCAGGAGTTGAGGAGCTATGTCTCTTCCTGCTCGAATAGTCGACATGCTAAGGCTGCGCAAAGGATATCGCGTACGCCTAGAGAGAAAGCAACCAAACCGTTTGACTTCGTCCATTTTGATTTGATCATGCTCACGCCGGCGCACAACGGCGATCGTTGGATTACGCATTTTGTATACAAATCTACCGGCTGGCATATGATCTATACACATCCGAAGAAGGAGCAGCTGAACGACCTGATCAAACAGTTCATCAAGTGGGTAAAGACGCAGATTGGAATCAAACCGAAGAAGATGTTGTCAGATAACGAACGAACACTTAGAAAGGCGTATATCTTTGAGATGAAAGAGAAGGGAATCAATATCTTACATTCAGTACCCTACACAAGCGAGCAAAACGGCCGAATTGAACAGACTGGAAGAACCATCATCGAGATGGCTTGTAGCATGCGTATCGCCGCCAACCTCCCTAAGAAGCTCTGGCCACAGATCTTGCAAACCGCAGTATACCTTCACAATCGGCGTCCGCGTAGAGAGAAGATATTGGAGAACGGCAAGGAGAAATGGATCTGGATCACGCCGCGCGAGAAGCTATACAGTAAGAAGCCGTCACTCGCGAACCTACGGGTGTACGGCTGCAGGGAAGTTCAGTTAACGCGGCAGCCTGGAAATCTATGATTATCCTGACGGTTCATAGTGTCCAGTGAACAGTAAGAGCAAGCACGGGAGCAATGTGGCCCTGAGGAGAAATAGGCATGTTCCCAGGAGCAAATGAGGCGTTCCCAGGGCCTTCAACTTCTGTCCTGGGAAGAACTAGGGTCTTGCGTACGCTGGCCTACGTCTTGCCGATGTCCAGTCTGGCTAGTCAGTTGGTGGTTCTACTGCAAGCTACGTAGCTAATTCATAGGGGCCTCATAGTATCTGTTATAGGATGTACTCGCTGCCATGGACCAACGGTTTTTCCATGATCGAAGCAACTATCCATGCGCTGAGGGGACGTCGCGGATGGCACTACTACACTAGCGCCGCAGCACCTACTGCAGGCGCCACACATGATTTCCAATTCACCGCCCCTAATCGTCTCTAACCGTCTCTAATCGTCCACAATCATCCTACCCTTTGCTTCGACTCATTTTACACCCAAAGTTTGAATTCTTTCTCACAGAAAACAAGCATGACTTTTACTTCAACTATCACACCTGCTTGCAGCTGTGATGGTCACCAACATTTATATCAGAACTGGCCTCAACACAGTGCAGTCATTCGCGTATCCTCATGTATGCGGGTATGTCCATACTGTGCGAAGGAGCGCCAATGCCAGCCGACTCCACAGGCATTTAGCGTCGTCGGATTATTGAGGGAAAAAAAAAAACCTCTATGTTGAACCTGAGAAAGCTGGTTCAAAGGGTGTAAGGTACGGTTTGACCTATCGACCTTGGCCGTGGCTCTGATTTATTCCAGAGAGCCACGGTACACTCCGCTAGCCTCCATGCCTGCAGAGATACTCAAGAAACCTACAACTCCCGCTATTAGCAGTGCCTTGATACTTAAAAAACAAGGTGACTACAACACTGACGCCCGGTCGGATGGGATAGTTGGAAAGATCGTAGAAGAGGTGCAGACTTCATTTGGCGCAAGCTATAATGGCCTCGTCCCGGCCGGGCTCTACCATCTTACGGACATCCCACCATCAATCCAAACGGTTCGGATAGTTTGAAGACCTTCACCTTGTCCGTTGCCAACTCTCTGTATTTTCTTGTCGCTTTGCCCAACCCGCCCTTGCCGTCGCTTCTAACCGATATTTATTGAGGGAGCAGCAGTCAGATTGATTCGAGTCTTCCTTTTCAGAAGGACCATCCGCTTCATCCCAGATTGCCTTGTGCAGGCCATGTGTATCGCTCACATGGTAACGAAGTTGGATCTCGAGTCGAACTTGATTTGGCACATTGGGTGTGAACAAATGTAGTTTCCTCGCAATTTCTTTATGTGTTTGTTGACATGAATCTTCAACTCGTTGCTCCGTTTCCAGGCATTCATGCGCTGCGAAGGGGTGAGGCTACCGCAGTCTACGCATAGAGGACAATACCCAGGTCGGATGAGGGTTTAGCGATATGTGATGATTTCGCATCTCCTGGAAACGTCATGTTCAAGAGGGCTGTTGTAAAGCGAGGACCTGTGAATTCCCTGTTGTGGTTAGTTTTGCCGTTTTTGGGTATGGTCTCCCGATCTGTGGACCCGGAGGAGAAGCTCCAATGTTCCATGACTGATTGCGGATAGCGACCAGCGTCTTGCCAATGCTTCTCACTTGTTCTGGATTCAGGAAATATGAGTGACGGCCAAAAATGACGACGTCCGAAAGCAACGAGAAGCACTCCAAAAGATAGCTTCGATGCTGCTAAGAGCCAACATTTTACATGTCGATTCTCCTTAAGGTATTGGCGCCGACGGTTGCACTGCACCTCACTCTTCACATCATCCCAATCTGCGTAGATACGTCTCATCGTGCTTTCAGTCACTGAAAAAATTCTGTTCTGAGCAGGAGCGTGTGTTTGTCCTGCGTTCTGTAATTTAGGAGAATTTTCCGAATGTATGGACTCAGTAAATCCCATGTAACGCATAAGCCTTATCGGACGGAAAATGAGGCTACCGACATTGATCGCAACTGTTGTAGCTTATGTTCTGGCGATGGCTCGTCAAGATCGACGAAGAGACTCTTATCCAGTACGTCATGTGGCTGTTCAACTCTGTGCTTTGCACTTACACATTTTCAGGATTATCCATGGCCGACTAGGACTCAGAGCTTGGATTGAAAGCAACTGCCAAGGGGAAATAGCCTTCACCACCTTCGACAATATCAGTTTTGCGCGAAATATCTCCAATGCATATGTATCCCGCAGTTTCAAGCTCTCCCAACCACTCCAAGGTCAGGAGCAGCTGGATATTTCAACACGCGAATTCAAAACCTGGTTCTCTGATAAGGATCAGCTATCTTTCAACAGTTCATCGTGTGATCATTTCCAACAAAGCTATTTTGCTCTTAATGGGAGCACAGATTGTCATAATACACCCGACTTTACCTGCCATCGGTTATGGATCAATCCTGGCCTCAAACATGGTTATTTTATGTTGGACGTCCTGGCCACCTGATATGTGATACGCTTTAGCAAACTACATACACACATCACCGCAGTAATCACGTATGAGTTATAGCTACTTGGATGAGTTTGCTCTTGGAATAATGTAGTTAGGGCTCTATTAGCCACAAGGAGGTAATATGTGTTTAAGTGTGACTGCTAATCGCGCTCTCATGCCCACTGTGACAGGCTAAGATAAGTGGGGACTCTTTGACTCAACAGGCTCTTTGCTGATTCCATTCAATGCTGGTCTCTTAGTTGGCATCTCAGAATCATTAAGACCGCAAAGCCACTTCCTCTTCTAAGATACACAGTTTTGACGAGGTTCTTTAATAGAATGGGCGTCGAAAAAATGCCGCTGTAACAGCAGGATACCATTATATGATTTGTTCTTACAGCAGAGATGAGGGCATTGAATAACCTCATCCTTTCCTTTGCCAGCCAAATGTTTATTATCAATGTGGTTGATGAGGGTGGACTTCTCCCGCCATTGTTGGAATCGTTCCACAGGAGATTTAGTGTGGTCACCCAAGCAGAAAGGACAGAATCCAGGCGCAACTAATGTAAAGTGGAATCTCAATAGCCCACACCAAGGTTGTAGATGGTCCAAATGGAATTAGCAGTGCTCCGTCCAAGCATCCTCTGTATTAAACTATTTGGCGCATAAGTAGCACCATTTAAGAAAAGATCTCTTCACTTGCTGATGAGCTCTCTTACCATTCATATAGAGCTGCTGGTATGGTGTAGCATTTAAGGACTTCCTTCTGCACTGTAGAATGTGCTTCGACCAGTTTAGTAAATCAATACTGTCGAAAATTAGCTACCGTAGGTAGACTTAAGATGTCTGAACAAACCTAGACATTTCTCTGGAACATACTGGGCATCTCCCATTGATTGGCGATTCACAAGGATAATATGCCACTCTCTCGTCAGAGACGCAGATATTCACCATATCCTGTAGACACTGTCTTCCAATCTTACTACCAATCAAGGCTTTGGTGAAGAGGTTATCGCGTAAACAAGCTCTCTCAGGCATATACTTGCGGCAGATGGTAAAGAGGCACATTGGATCATGCTCACCAAACTCATTCCCTGCAATATATTCATTATAAGAAGATCTCCACTAGTTGTTAATAAACTCAACCTTCTTGACACGGTGCTTCTTAGCTGCTTTTATGTAGAGCTTTTCCCTCTTAAGTGCTAATTCTTCATACTCAGCAGGCTTTCCTCTGATTTGTTGAGTAATCTCATTGATCCTGTGGTAGATCTCTTTCATTTCATCATCATCATTCTCAACCTGCGCAGTGGCAGCCGCGTCAAGACGTTGCGGAATATTAGTGTCGCGATGATGAGCCATACTTTCTTCCGTTTCCAGACATTCATAGTCTGGCTTTAGGTTCCAGAAGCTGGCCTGGACGTCAACACGCTTAAATTTGGATTGATACTTGAGGAAGGTGTCTGGGTTCTGGTGATCTAGTGCTTGGCTTCTTGCTGCTTAAGACGCCTTTGCTATAAGCCTGTTAGTGTTTGCTGGAAGTTGGTATAATAAAGGAAATGACCCACGGTCAATTGCATTTGCAACGCCCCCTCTAATCCTGTGGATTCTTAACTGATCTTAGAAACAGGCCCGTTGGGTAAGCGACGTAAAATGGTGCTGTATTAATGAAAATCTCAACGCACGGGTAGGGTGTGGTCCATCAGTAGTCACCATGCGAAGCACTGGTAGGTTTTATATGTGCGTTTCCCATTCAAGGGTCCATGACTCTCTCCCTTTCGGTGGTCTTTTATCTAATAACTCATCGGCTGTGCAGATGCCCCTGAATGCCTTGTCTGCAATACCTGCAGCCATAATATAGAATATAAAATTTCTTCTAAGTATATCTTGCTCTGGTATCTAGTTTCTAGGACTATATTGCTGCAATTAGCTGTGTAGTGTTGAGGACAGAGAAGACAAATCTTACATGACAGCCTCATCATCATAGTGATGGCCTTTGAGGAACTCTGGATCTATGGTGACCCAGTACTTGACTTCCTTATTTTTTGAATTCCATTGTAGATTGAAGGAAAGATGCTATATAGTAATTAGCATAGGACTCTCAGATAAGTAGAGTGATGGGACAAACTCTATAGTAGAGACACTCGTTGGTACCTCTGTAAGAACTTGATTCAATAATCACACCTGCTCTTGCACCGGAACCAGAGAACAAAGAGAGCGAGAATGCATCTTGAAATCTGGCACGCTCATGTATGTAATCATGGTCATCGTCTTCAAATAAATGTTGAAGAAGTAGATCGAGATCCCTTCTAGTCACCGGAAACTTCTCTTGATGTTTGGTAGCAAGCCCATACTTCGGAGTAAGTTCATTCCGGATATTCTATGTAAGGAATTAGCAGTATAGGCGTAGCATACCCGCCTAGGGTAACTCACATTGTAAAGATCATCCTTAACTATATCTGGCAGCTTTCTGCAGGTCTTTTTCTGTCATTCAGCGATAAAGCAAGAGAGGTTAAGACAGACAGTATACTGAGTGGGTAAGTCTCCTTTGCGCAAAGTAATAAACGCCTCTGAAAACAGCTTCAAGATTTGAACAGGAGGATCAGGTTCCTCCTTCGTGAAATATTGATCACCTGGTTCATTTTGAGAAAGCATCCATCTATATGCCGTCAGCAACTAGGCATAAAGTAAGGTAATAAAAAAGTGTTTATTTGTACAATTTCCAAAACTCTACTAAACGGCCATATCTGTCATCGGTAGCCGGAGCCCTTTTCTTATGGCTGATTTCGTTTGGTTTGCTTTTTTGTTTTTCCTGGTACTCTGTTATGAATCCTTATAAGTCAGCAAACTTACAGAGCTCCTCCACTTTTCTCCTCAGATCAAAACATTTAAAAAAAAGTGTCACGTGACATGCTGTGGAAGGATAGAAGGAAAAACTGAGAGAAAATAAATCACTAAAAAAACCGCTTGTAGATGGGAAAGGAGACAATAGTTGAGCAGAGAGGAGGCCCTCATATTTAAGCTGGCGATGGAGGTACTAGTAATGGGCTATAGGGAGTCCAGTCACCACAGAATCACTCACCCACTGATCACCCACGCTCACCCATGCTATTGGATAGCATCGCTCAGCTCACCTTCACTCACCCTCACTCACCTGCACTCACCCTGTGGTTTAGTATCTCTCACCTGTAAAGCAGCAGGCCTTTAAGGGCGCATATAACTTCTGGCCGCGTTGATAATACTAGCTTAAGTATGGCTGAGCGGATGGGAAGCCCTGTTCTCCACACCCTATGGTTATATGTGCTAGATTTGGTCTTGGAAGGAAATATATACAATGCGGAGTGGTGATTATCAGGATAAATCTTTGGTATCTTTGGTATCTTTAGTATCTTTTGTATCTTGGTGTGTTTGCTGTGTTTGCTGCGTATTCTATTGCTTTTCCTTTCAAAACCATACCAAGTCACTATTGGTCATAGCTTAGGAAACCATTCCTTAGGGACATTCAAGTGTTGTACTCTGTACTTTCTGGTGAATTATGTCCAGTGAACGGGCAGCAACACCGTAAAATACCAAAAATACCAGCACCATAAATCAGGATATATTTAGTAGCAGACTTTCAAAACAAGCTACAATATCAGCATCAAGGTAATTAATAATGCGTATTGTGCCTAGGAGACCCCAAAAAGACAAATGGTCATACCAACATTTATCACTACTTGACATGTCTTGGGTTCAGAACTGTCTTGAACAGCCCTCCAAAGGGTTACAACTAACCGCAAATGGCTAGGTTCCTCAATTGTCTGAGAGGCAGGCCATCTCCGTAAGTTACCTATGGATGTACTGTTGTCAGCATCCAGGGCTGTGTCAGAATACATGATGCAGCTGCTTATGACCGCTAGACCGATAATGGCAAGGGCGGACGAGCTTCTCAAGCCCCTGGTCCTAATGTCCAGATTCAAGCCAGATTACTCCAGTTGAGTGTCTCTGGGGAAGTATGTAAAGGCCTGAACTTCTAAAGGCTATCGGACTGGAGTAGTGGTCCCTTTTACTCTGAATCACAGCTGGAAATTTGTCATAATGGCAAAGCCTAGAAGAATCCGTCATCGGCAGTCCGATAAGCCAAAGGCAAAACGTCAACAACACCGACGACGGGGATATACCTTGTTCCGGAAGGCATTTGAGTTCTGCCAGGAGTGTAATGCAGATGTCTCGCTCATGGTTCGGTTGAAGGCGAATGGCCAGATTTATATTTTTAACTCAGATGGCCGATGGTTTCCTTCACAGGAAGACTTGGTAAGTAAGGTCTTTTTGTTTTTATGATATTTTGGTAGAAATACTACCTTTAATAGGAGTATTTATATTATATATTCTTTATATAACCCTATTTATATTCTCTATAGTTAGGTTAGACTAACTATTCTTCTATTAATTCTCTTTATATAGCCCTATTCTTATTTATCTAATAGAATAACATATCTTTTATAGTTAAATTAGACTAATTATTCTTCCTTTAATTCTCTTTATACAGCCCTATTCTTATTTATCTAATAGAATAATATATCTCCTATAGTTAAATTAGGCTGACTATTCTTCTATTAATTCTCTTTATACTGTCACGGGCTAGAAGCCGGTCAACCTATGACCTAGGTTTGGACGGTAAGAAATCGCTAAGGGGTTCTAACTAGGGCCGCAACGGCCAAACAAGAAAAGATGTGTGCGAACTGCAGGCGAGGTCACATGACTTGGTGAACTCATGATATCGTTGGTGCCTAAGGCAGCTCGCGAGTGCCGATAGGCTCGAGCATACAGCGGGCCTTGCCCGCTACATATACAGCCCTATTCTTATTAAACTAATAGAATAATACCTTTCTATTAGGCTGATATCTTCTGGAATGTTTAGTAAGCAAGTGTAATTCAGCGCAGCTGAAGCTGGCAGTAAGTAGAGTAAGCACCCAGCCAGCTTGTCTACCCCTGAGGATACTCCATAGATACGTATCTCTGGCATGTGAAGGATAGATGTTTGCATATTGAGAATCAAGTATTTTCAAATGGAACTATGTATTTGGCAAGATTGAGGAATTCAAAACATCATCATTGAAAATCATGCAATATCATCAGTCATAAACAACCATATCTTCAAAACACACCGCCACCCACGCTGGTCTACTATATAGATGAACTGACAAAGATAAAAATAAGAAGAATCAGAACCCGAAATATGCATAGAAGAGATTCCAAAAACAACACCAGAAAGTGAATGTTTCCACCTCAGTTGTATTCCACAATCACCCGCTTCCAGGAACGGGTGCCTTCTGCATCCACAACCTGAGGAAAGTGAACTGTTTGGTTTCGTCTTTGAGTTGATTGAAGCTCTTCGGAGCCTGGAAGCTCATAGACCTCTTGTCTGTGAGTCCCCACAGGCCATGCAGCAGGTACTGTGGAAGCCTCGCCTTGGTGCTGATCCTCATTTTCGATTTTAGAATAGGTCGAAGCGAATGAGCCGACCAAGTCGGCGTTCTTATCCGAGGTCGCCGGCCGAGATTCGTCGCCATCGAATATGTTCCCCACAGGCACGGCTCTGGACTCGGACCCAGCCAGTGCAGAAGACTGTTGCAACTGCCCATCCTCTTCAGATGTCAATTTGCTCCTGCTCGGCTGACGACCCAAAATAGAGGCGAGGTAGCCACTTGATGGCAACGGTGCAAGATGCGACAGGGGTGGCAGTATATCACAAGCCGAGGGCAAAGGGAAGGTCCTTTGCGAGGGTGCCTCTGAACTGAGCGCATCCTGTTGCCGTTCCTTTGTCTGCTGCTCGCAACCATACTTCTCCTGCCTCGAAGATTGTGAATCCATCCCTCTCGTAGGCAGGGCGTACTGGCCTTGCCGTCGACGTCTGATCAGCCGCGCTAGGCCTACGATGCAAATCACTGAAAGAGCAGGATATACGATTCCGAATGATTGCGCTTGCAAGTCTTGGAGTATGGCCCAGTAGTTATCTCCAGGGTTCATTGCCAGAAGCGCGGTGTCCCCTTCCATGAAGCGGCTGTCCTCCGCCACTTCTTAAGCTGGATCAGGGTATTTGTCCTAATACCATTGTCAACAAGCTGCATAAACAAGGAATCTACGAGAAGTTGTGTAACACACCCCAAGTATAAATCAACCCTCACGCGACGCTTCACTGTTTATGTTTGGGAAGAGTGAAGAGCAAGATGAGAACAGGAAGAGCAAGATGATGGATGCCTGGCATGCAGTTCACTTGAGTGTAGTAGAAGTCCAGAGTAAGCTACAAGAAGCACCTTTTTGAGAATGGAACAAACATCCAGGTCTCCCAGGATGGCCCTGCTCGGCTTTATAAGATGAGGCTGATTGACCACAAGGCACAGGGAAATCACCACCCGCCGCCCAGTTTGATTCGATGAGAGAGATGCCATTGTCTAATAGCCTGGGACTTGGAAATGAATAGACTCCACATATCAACCCAGATGACCATAATATTGCGCTCTCTTTCCCTTTGGTCATCTGGCCCGACGACTAAGAGAGAGGGGCATCCCGGTCCAGCTGCATCGTGATCAGCCACGGAACTGGTGAAAATGGGTGAATACACGGGAAGGCAGACAACGGTCTCACCCCGTCATCATAGGGCAGATCTCTGGGGGAAGATTGCCTGGACTCTGAAAGCAAGGCAAGTTCAGCTGATGAAGATGCGCCACCAGAAGGAGTGGTCTCAGAAGGCGAAAGTGGCGCCTGAAAGAGAGACTAGCGAGTAGGCAGTTCTAGCGACGATCAACTAAGTCAGACTAAGTACTCACTAAGTTTGGTGTCTATCTAATCATCATAGATCGATCGGCATTGGAGATCCATAGTCTAGGTATACGATGAGGCTGTCCCAATCAGCCATTCTGTTGGCTGAGTTTAAAGCAGAGTACCTAGGGTTCACTGTATTGTGGAAAGAAAATGGTCAGACAGGTGATTTGTGAGAGGGGAGGCCATAGTGACACCACAACACACTCACTTCTTCTTCCTTTTATCCTCCTTCATCCTTCTCCATTTCCCTCCATCCAAAAATTTCAATTCAGTTGTCTATAATCCTCCTAAGTGCAGGACTGAAGTCCATTTACTTCACTTCTGAGGTTTGTTGACATTAGCCACATTGGTCCAATGTGGACAATTGTACACACCTATGAATCATTTCAATAAAAATGGATCTGAATCAAAGACAGGTGCTAACTAAATCTTCATGCAGGCGATCCATATAATTCGCCATTATCGAGATTCGCCCGTTCCTAGATAAACAACCTATAAGACCAAGCGGCGCCGTCAAGGGGCGAGAAAGTGGCAGCCTGTCGGTGACCCCGACAGACAACTATATTAATGTCGTCGTCTTTCGAGTCGTCCATGGCGAACTGGCTTCAGTTTAGACGTGGCGAACTTCTATTGTGGAATTACAGAGTGTTCAATCCACTCTCATGGATCTGACCTGTTGACCCAACAACCTGGTCAGCCCCGAGAGCAGGCTATCTATCGGATGCTTGATCCAGCAAACTCTATACAGATCTCAAATATCCTGCACCAACCAGAACTCTGGGAGGCACAGTCGATCTATGTTAATATGCATCAACTGAGGGGCAAACTAAGCTAAATAATGTCAAAAGGGAAGACCACCCAATCACCGCTCTATAGCTTAGCAGTGACACCATTCTTTTGGGTCTCTTCGTTGGCTCGGTCTCGAAGCACTTTACGCAAGATTTTCCCAGACGGGTTCTTAGGAATCGCATCAACGAAAACTACCCCACCGGTTATTCTCTTGATCGCAGACACTTTGCCGTCCATGAAGGCGACAATGTCGTTCGCGGTGGCGCTGTGTCCTGGCTTTAGCACAATATACGCTCGAGGACGCTCGTCGTCATTCCTATTCAGGTAACCAGAGTTAGCCTGTGTTTCATTCTGTGGTCTATTTACTTACACTCGCACTCCGATGACGGCAACATCAGCAACCGCAGGGTGTTCCAGCAACAGGGCCTCCAGCTCTGCCGGTGCCACCTGGTTGCCTTTCACCTTGATCAACTCCTGTCCAAGATCGGCCCGGTCAGCTTACATACACCATGCAGAAGTCATGCAATCTATTGCGCCGCAACCATGGGGCGCAGAGGCTGTAAGAAGAGGAGGGGTCATATGAGATCGCTGGGCTTACCTTCTTGCGGTCGACGACATGGAACCTCCCGTGGTCGTCCACGTACGCAATATCCCCTGTTTTCAACCATCCATCGTCCGTCTTGGTTTCCTTGGTTGCTCGGGGGTTCTTCCAGTAACCTTTCATGATATTCGGGGCTCGTACCCAGAGCTCGCCGCGCTGATTGCGTCCATACTCTGTCACTCCATCATCGGCCATGATTTTCGCCTCACAATTTGCATTTAACTCTCCAACTGACGCACTATAGCTCTTTTCGGTTGGGTTCCAGCCCAATATCGAACATGTGGTTCTGTTAGAAATATGATGCGTTAGCTTATCAGGGCCCTTCGCCATCAAGGTCAAGAAATTCATACTCGGTCATTCCCCAGCCCTGCTTGACATTAATGCGACCAGGTGGCCAAAGGGCCTCAACCTCTTCGCACACTTCTCGTCCCAGGGGTGCTGCTCCACTTCCGATCGCCTCCACGCTGCTAAGGTCATACTTTCCGCTCTTGACCGCAGGGTGTTTGGCCAATGCAATCACCACCGGGGGCACCAAAATGAGGTCCGAGATGCGGAACTTCTCCACATATTCGAGCATCTTGATAAAGTCAAACTTGGGCATGATGTAGACAGGCACTTCGCGGCTCAGCGCAGCCGCGATAAAAATGTTCTGCGCCATCGCATGGTACATCGGCAGAAAGCACAGCCACCGCGACCTGACCGATTTCTCCTTCCAGTCTGGGTTCAGGTAGAACATGAAGTTGTACTGCAGCATGTTGGCAACATAGTTCTTGTGCGAGATCTCCACCCCCTTTGGCCGGCCAGTCGTGCCGCTCGAGTAGTTCAGCGCAAGCGTCCGGTCAGCCTCCTCGGGCGTCTTCAGCTCATCCCAGACAAACCGACTCCCCTCCTCGGCGGAAGCTACCAGCTCCGCCCAGTAGCGACACCCTTTCCTCCCTTCACCCTGCCCATCAAAAATCGCATCATTGAACACAAACACCCGATCCCGGCTCAACCCCGCGATCTGAGCTGCCTCAATCCCCGTATCAAGACTCACATCCGCACAAAGGAGGAACGAAGCCCCGCTATCCTGCAACTGGAACGCCAGCTCCCTCGGCACAAACGTCGGATTGGCACCCGTGAAGATACCGCCGGCCATGATGATCCCCATGAACACAACAGGGAAGAACAGATCATTACCGGAGAAGAGCAGTACGCGGTCACCGGGCTGGAGACCAGCTTTGCGCAGTCCAGCCGCGAATCGCTGACTCCATAGTCGGAAGTCATGGGTGGTGAAGTAATGGGTGTCTGGGCGCGCGGCTTCGGAGAAGCATCGATGTGTGGAAGAGAGGGGGTGCGTGGGCGATTTGAGAAGGAGTGAGGCGAGGTGGGTGTTTGGAATATCGATGTGATAGCGCGATTTGAAGGGCATCTTCAATCTCCGAGATTCTGCTTTGTGTAATGATAAGTGTATTATAGACCTCGTACTTCAAGGATATTCGTGGAAAATAGCCTAAGAGGAAGACAGCAGAAACTATATATACTCAAACACAAGATACAAACACACCATTCACTGCCCCAGTCATTTACCCCATGAATAACCCAGCTAAGCTCAAAGTAGACGTAGCCAGACTCCTTTTATCATTTGTCTCCTCGATCCAATTCAATACGTGGCGTGTATCCTTCGTGATGCTGGACTACATAGCTGGCATGTTCAGGGAGAGGAAGCTATCCCCGCATTTCCCCCGCATCGGTTATTCCTTGCCGTGTCCCCTTCGCCAATCGTCGCCTTTGCGCTACGAGAGTCCCGAGGCTGACCTCGGACTTTTCGGTATAATCGGATCATAGCTTTAATGCCATGGATAATTGAGGTAGTATTATGACTTATGAGCATGGATTATGAGATGGCTGAGACTGGTTGGCTAGAGTCAGTATGGGACGCTGTCATTGATGCATGGGAAGACGGCACATTTATCCGTGGAGCTTGTCTCAAGTCAATTGAACGATGCTCGATAGCCTATTTGCTCTTCGAGGGAAAGAAAAATAAGGTGAAGGAAGATAAGAAGATATATTCTACCCAGGATATTTTACACTCCATCCGATCCATCCCGTAGAGCATGCTAGATCGAAGCAGAAGAAATAATACCCTGAAGATGCGCAGGTAAGAAACGTAAACTTGCCAAAACAGCTGGACCGCTCAATACATGATCATCGTTATGCCTCCTCTCCTCCAAGGCAGACCAGGGCTGCCTTGAGCTCATTCACAATCCTCTCTTCCAGACGGTTCTCTGCGCCCGAGGCAGGGTTTACCGGCTTGTGTCGTGCCAGCTCCACTTCTTTTTCGCTGGTAGCGACAATCCGCGCGCGAAGACTCTGCCGACGTTCTAGCAATTCTTCGATGTCTTCTTTGACCTGCGTCTTGTCCCACATGAGTTCCTGGATAGATTGTGCATCTACCCCGGCACTGGGACCGGCTTCTCGGAAGCGGTTCAAGATGAAGGAAATGAGCGCAAGCGAGTATGCTTCGGATGCCATGCTCAAACAGATGCGTCGGGACGGAGAGCCTGAGCGGTCCGCAATGAAAGATTCGGACGCCCGCTTGAGCTGCCCTTCGAATTGGTTAAGGAATGCAGCCACCTCGGGCGCGGTGCGGAGGACGTGGTACAGGAGATTCAAGCAC